GGCTAAAATATTTTACTAACACATTCATATTACATATCATAATATGCCAAGCCAAGCAACTTAAACAGTCATTTTTCTCCACTAACACCTGTCTTTTCCTAATTTTCTAACTGTTTTTGATGACACTTCAATTACTTATCTCTGTATTTTGCACACTCAGTCTTTCTAGCTGCCACAACTGTCTTCAGATTTTTGATTCATATGACTAAAATATGACAACTGCTTTGGCCTGATCCAGGAAACATTTTTATATTTGTCAGTTGTACCTGCTGTTCTTGGGTATTGGCCTTATTGCAATCTAAAACAGCATCCCTGTAGCCCCTAAAGATTTTTCTTACGCTCTTTATCCATGATTCACATACATACCAGTATTGGCAGTATTTAACACTTTATAACATTAATTCTTTTCCATTATCAATATTCTACATTTTGTGCACAAAACTACATCTGCACTACTCCAATTTCAAATCCACTGTCTTCAATTTCATATGTCACTGTCCAACATTTGCATTCAGGCAGAACAACAAGCCACATAAAACTGGCATGAATATGTTGTTCGTCCATCCAAGAGATGAAGACCACTTTTCATCCAAAGTTGCAATGATCAATGATTATGAGTATGAAGGTGGCTGATTAGTCCAATATAATCCCAGAAAGTTCTTGAGCAGTGCGGACAACAGGTGGAAGCTGCAGTAAGTGTGGGATTAGCGATACGGTTCTTTCTAGTCTGCCCCCATAACCTCCGCTGCCTGGCAGGCCAATGCACCGTCTAGAACGTACGCCATCCTGTGCAGCAGCCTCCCACATTACTGTTTTGGTGCCAAAAAAAACGAGCAGTTTTGAGAGTGTTCGTATAACGCATTTTCTGTCCTCTCTGGGACCTTTTTCCTCGCAGGAGCTCGCTATAAAATACCCCTTGGCAGGTGAAAATCTGGCATGCGAGCTAGGTGACCAGCCCAACGCAGCTGATAATTCTTCAGGACTATGTGGATGCTATGCAGGTTTGCAGCTTTCTGAGACAAATTATATGAAACTGATTCAACTTTTTAGCATGGCACTGATATACAGTCCACGTTTCTCAAGCGTAGAGCTGTACTGGAAGAATTACAGCTCTGGTCGTGAATATAAAGAACAGATAAAATCTTTTGGCACAAAGACCACACAAAAAACAAATTTAGTTAAACCACCTTTCCACAATTTCAATGTACAAAAAGTGCTAAAACTGACTTATTTTAGTTAAGGAATTATCAGAAATTACAGACGACATTTAATATGTTTTACATACATCCTGTGTGACGGTTGAGTACCCTCTCTCCATAGTGACAAATCCAGAGTCCTTGGTTTTATTTTTCTCAAGAGGTGTGTCCAGACAACTGCCCTCCAGCTCTTCAGCCATGCGGGAGTGCTCATCTTCCCAATCATACTCAGCTGCAACAAAATAAGCCCTAATAAGACAGACCAAGACAAGGAATTGATTGTGACCACAAATTGTATAACTTGTGTAAATACCCGCAGAAACAGTCCCTGAACGCATGCTGCTATGGAGGTGTAAAGTGTGAAGCAAATACAACGGAAACAGGGGAATTTCAAAAATAATGGTAAAAGCTGAAAATAACAGATGACCTGTAAATGACAGCCAGAATGACATGTGGCTACTAATAATCGTTTGGGAGGAGTTATTGTGACAGGCACGCATTTTCAGGTGTTTTTTTTGTTTGTTATTATAATTTTTTTTAGTATAGAAGGCCTCCGTTTAGGTCACCTGGGCTTCATTCTGGAGAATGAAGAACAGAACTGCTCTCCCCCCACCCCAAGTATATCTAAGAGAGGATGTTTCCAGCAATATTGTAGTGCATCTGCATGAGAGGTAAGGAACCAGCAGTATGGATACAAACAAGTCAGGCCCGTAAAACTGATGTGCACCCCTCTCCCTTACAAGTATGTCCTAAGAGGTGACTAAATAGGGGTGTTTCCTTTAATGTCACAGTGAATCTGCCTGAGGCAAGAAACCTGCAGTCGGCCTACAAATAAGCCAGAACTGTAAAAACAGATGTGCATGCAAAACTCAAGTTCTGGATCAAGACCAAAGTCCAGAAGTGGACAAATAACCAGATGTTTCCAACCGATAAACGCTAAGAAGAACTCACACCTTAGATGCATATTTCATCAGCAGTAAACTCTGGCGGAAGGTTCTGGTTGCTCGTTCACCACTGAACTGCAGTCCTGCTCCAGAACCTGAGTGTTGCGTGTGCATCAGTTTCACAGATCTCATTCTCTTGAATACAGACTGTTGGTTCCTTGCCTCTCTGGCAGATGCACTCCGACTTCAAAGGGAGCTCCCCAATGAGTCGACTCTTACGACATGCTTCTGGGGAGGCAGTGGGTATATTTTTGTTTTCCCCACGATGGGAACCCACACGGGGGACTGTAAGATATGTATACTGTTGTCTCAAAATCAATGCAAAGTGATCTGCTACCAAATTGCCTGCGCTAACTTTAAGGTATGTCAGGATTTACAGTACTAAGCTACAGCTGCCGATGAGTTTACATCAGTGTGGGCAGGCAGACTATCGCTCGCAAATCAAAACTAGCTGTCCAAGCAATCTTTACTGACCTGCGAGGCTGATGTGAAATTACTATATAATCCCCCACTTTCCCTTAAAAATTAATATAAATTACCAAACTGAACAGACACATTTAGGAATATACAGAAGGTTTCAGTGGGTGAGTGTGTCTGGCCACAGGCACAGCAAGGGATTATAATTTCAGATTACCTCACAAAAACATTGCTGCTGGGAAATCTGGGCGGTACTGGATTTTTTTAAGTATGGCCCGCGACCAGGTTGGTAATTCTCAATAAACTTAACTCAGAGACCAACAAATGTTGCCCACCTCTGGTTTACACAGATATGCGCTAATTGTAAAGAAAACATTACCATCTCCCAGATCACCAAATGTTTCCTCATTTAGGACGTCAAAGTCCTCCTCTACTTCTGGTGCCTGTATTAGCTGATTTTCATCATCATCAAGTTTTCCTGCCCCAAGAGCCTGCATTGAGGATAAAGAAAAGTGAAATTTGTTAAAAATTCTTATTTCTGAAAGGTCCATGTAAACACCATTACTTTTAAGTTTATTATTTCTGCTTCTTCTTTGTTCACTTGCTGTAAGTTTAGACAGAAAGTCCTGGTTGTTCATCCTTTTGGACTCTGGCTTTGTGCCAGAGTTTGAGTTTTGCATGTACATCCATTTTACTGGCTTCTTGTATGCAGCTGGTTGTTCCTCACCACTCTGGCAGATTC